GTTACTGTGTCTCTACTTAGCCTGTTCATCGTGTCCCTACTAACCCTGTCCATCGTGTCCCTACTTAACCTGTCCATCGTGTCCCTACTTAACCTGGTCACTGTGTCTCTACCTAATCTGGTCACTGTGTCTCTACTTAACCTGGTCACTGTGTCTCTTCTTAACCTGGTCATTGTGTCTCTACTTCGCTGTTCACTGTTTCCCTACTTAGCCCTTTCACTGTGTCTTTACCGCGCCTGTTAACTATGTCCCTACTTAGCCTGTTCATTTTGTCTCTACTTAGCCTATTCACTGAGTCTCCACTTAGCTTGTTTACTGTGTCCCTACTTATCCTTCTCATCGTGTCCCTACTTAGCCTGTTCGTTTGTCCTTACTTAGCCTTTTCACTTTGTCCAACTTAGCCTGTTTACTTTGTCCTTACTTAGCCTATTCACTTTGTCCTTACTAAGCCTGTTCATCGTGTCCCTATTTAGCCTGTTCATCGTGTCCCTACTAAGCCTGTTCATCGTGTCCCTATTTAGCCTGTTCATCGTGTCCGTACCCGCGACAATAGTTATTAACATCAGACCCCTGATTGTTGACATATCTGACTATCTCTAACACCCTACTTCCGTTTGAACATAAAATCAATACACCACTCCCACGGTGATCGATAACCTCTCTGTGGTTGTTCACCAGTCTCAGTCAGACGTGACCGAAATACACACATCATCGTCAACACACCGGGACGAAATCCGACTCCGACAAGATACTAACAGGAACTAAAAGACAGGAACCGAGGGTGATATACAAAAAATATATCATGCACCGCCATCAAACGACTATTGTCGACACTAGGTTTTGCGTTTGAATAATTATTATGCCCTACATGGTGTATGGCACCTATAAATCAAATGCAATTTAGATGTATCTCGGTTAATATGTCGGTCAGGTAAAATGTATGTAACATGATTGTTTAGTTGTATGATGCCATTGAGCATGCATCAAGGACGCCGTTACTTGGAAATAACGGAATAAAGAGATTTTACTCCAAAGGCTCTGACGATAGGACACCAGATAAAGGAAATTCTATAGCAGATGTCCGGACGATAGGACACTAGATAAAGGAAATTCAATAGCAGATGTCCGGACAATATGACACCAGATTATAAAGATTCTAATCCAGAGGTTCGGAAGATAGGACACTAGATTTTAGCTTTATATTCTACTTCTGAGGTTCGGACGATAGGACAATAGATAAAGGGAATTATATAGCAGATGTCCGTACGATAGGACACTAGATAAAGGGAATTATATAGAAGATGTCCGGACGATAGGACACTAGATAAAGGAAATTCAAAAGCAGATGTCCGGACGATAGGACACTAGATAAAAGAAGCTGTATAGCAGATGTCCGGACGATATGACAACAGATCATAAAGATTCTACTCCAGAGGTTTAGACGATAGAACACTAGATAAAGGAAATTCTATAGCAGATGTCAGACGACAGGACAATAGATCAAGGGAATTATATAGCAGATGTCCGGACGATAGAACATTAGATAAAGGGAATTATATAGCAGATGTCCTGACGATAGGACACTAGATAAAGGGAATTATATAGTAGATGTCCGGACGATAGGACACTAGATAAAGGGAATTATACAGCAGATGTCCGGACGATAGGACACTAGATAAAGGAAATTCAAAAGCAGATGTCCGGACGATAGGACACTAGATAAAGGGAATTATATAGTAGATGTCCGGACGATAGGACACTAGATAAAGGAAATTCAATAGCAGATGTCCGGACAATATGACACCAGATTATAAAGATTCTAATCCAGAGGTTCGGAAGATAGGACACTAGATTTTAGCTTTATATTCTACTTCTGAGGTTCTTATATTCTACTTCTGAGGTTCGGACGATAGGACAATAGATAAAGGGAATTATATAGCAGATGTCCGGACGAGAGGACACTAGATAAAGGGAATTATATAGCAGATGTCCGTACGATAGGACACTAGATAAAGGGAATTATATAGCAGATGTCCGTACGATAGGACACTAGATAAAGGGAATTATATAGTAGATGTCCGGACGATAGGACACTAGATAAAGGAAATTCTATAGCAGATGTCAGACGACAGGACAATAGATCAAGGGAATTATATAGCAGATGTCCGGACGATATGACACGAGAGAAAGGGAATTATATAGCAGATGTCCGGACGATAGAACATTAGATAAAGGGAATTATATAGCAGATGTCCTGACGATAGGACACTAGATAAAGGGAATTATATAACAGATGTCCGGACGATAGTACACTAGATAAAGGGAATTATACAGCAGATGTCCGGACGATAGGACACTAGATAAAGGAAGCTGTATAGCAGATGTCCGGACGATATGACAACAGATCATAAAGATTCTACTCCAGAGGTTTAGACGATAGAACACTAGATAAAGGAAATTCTATAGCAGATGTCAGACGACAGGACAATAGATCAAGGGAATTATATAGCAGATGTCCGGACGATATGACACGAGATAAAGGGAATTATATAGCAGATGGCCGGACGATAGGACACTAGATAAAGGGAATTATATAGAAGATGTCCGGACGATAGGACACTAGATAAAGGAAATTCTATAGCAGATGTCCGGACGATAGGACACTAGATAAAGGAAGCTGTATAGCAGATGTCCGGACGATATCACAACAGATTATAAAGATTCTACTTCAGAGGTGTAGACGATAGGACACTAGATAAAGGAAATTCTATAGCAGATGTCAGACGACAGGACAATAGATCAAGGGAATTATATAGCAGATGTCCGGACGATATGACACGAGATAAAGGGAATTATATAGCAGATGTCCGGCCGATAGGACACTAGATAAAGGAAATTATATAGCAGATGTCCGGACGATAGGACACTAGATAAAGGAAATTCTATAGCAGATGTCAGACGACAGGACAATAGATCAAGGGAATTATATAGCAGATGTCCGGACGATAGAACATTAGATAAAGGGAATTATATAGCAGATGTCCTGACGATAGGACACTAGATAAAGGGAATTATATAGAAGATGTCCGGACGATAGGACACTAGATAAAGAAAATTCAATAGCAGATGTCCGGACGATAGGACACTAGATAAAGGAAGCTGTATAGCAGATGTCCGGACGATATGACAACAGATTATAAAGATTCTACTTCAGAGGTGTAGACGATAGGACACTAGATAAAGGAAATTCTATAGCAGATGTCCGGACGATAGGACACTAGATAAAGGAAGCTGTATAGCAGATGTCCGGACGATATGACAACAGATCATAAAGATTCTACTCCAGAGGTGTAGACGATAGGACACTAGATAAAGGAAATTCAATAGCAGATGTCCGGACAATATGACACCAGATTATAAAGATTCTAATCCAGAGGTTCGGAAGATAGGACACTAGATTTTAGCTTTATATTCTACTTCTGAGGTTCGGACGATAGGACAATAGATAAAGGGAATTATATAGCAGATGTCCGGACGATAGGACACTAGAAAAAGGGAATTATATAGCAGATGTCCGGACTATAGGACACTAGATAAAGGAAATTCTATAGCAGATGTCGGACGACAGGACAATAGATTAAGGGAATTATATAGCAGATGTCCGGACGATAGGACACTAGATAAAGGGAATTATATAGCAGATGTCCGAACGATAGGACAATAGATAAAGGGAATTACATAGCAGATGTCCGGACGATAGGACAATAGATAAAGGGAACTATATAGCAGATGTCCGGACGATAGGACAAAAGATAAAGGGAATTATATAGAAAATGTCCGGACGATAGGAAACCGGAATATAGAGATTCTTCTTTAGAGAATTGGAAGATAGGAAAATAGATAAAGGAAATTCTACCGCAGATGTCATGTCACGTGTTGGTTTGACATGTCACGTGCTGGTGAGTCAAGTCACGTGTTGGTTGGACATGTTACCTTTTGGCGAGACATGTAACGTGTTGGTTGGACATGTCACGTGTTGGTGAGTTATGACACGTGTGTATACATCATTGAAATAAAACAGAACACGTGGATTTACAATAAATAGTACGTTGACATTTCATTTGTTTCTGTTCGTGCAAACAGTCTTACACAAGGATACACACATATCCACGTCCACTCTTATTTGGAAAATAACATTTAGAAAATAAATTATTGCAGATAACGATACATTTTTGCATTAGAGCCAATGTTACAAACAGCTTAACGATTGATAATAAAAACAATATGACACATGCGTAAATAAATTTGTAACATTTACACCATATTCTTATTTATTATGTTGCGTTTTCCATTGTTTGGTATGTGAACGAAATGTCTTGTGTTTTATCAATTTCTTTTAAAAAAATCTCATCATTGGAAAACAAACATATCTAATGTAAACCGGGCTCCTTCAAAATAGGCCAATTCATCTTATATACAAGACAGTCGAAATTTATATTAGACTGAGCTAAAGTATTTTTGGGTCTGACTTTTAAAAATTGTAGAAACAAAATTCACTTCAGGCGGCTCTGCCTTTACAATCAGATATATATAAGATCTTATAAAGATAGGTTAAAACATGTCGTCCACGCTCTCAACAAACTTTAGGATATAACTTTAAGTGTGATATACTGCATGCGCTTTAGGCGTAGCATATCGCTATGTTGAAGGCGAAAATCGTCACGTGATAATACTTACCTCAACACGTACCAAACTGACAAGTACCTGTAATACAAATGCTTCTATGTACATGTAGACTGTCATTGACTTACAAGTAAAAAGAGAACGAGAAAATATGCAAATATTGGAACAGCAGAAAGGTTGAAAATGTACATATCAACTACACAGAATTAGAAGGGACAGAACAGTTTCGTTATGTTGTTGAGCCTTTTTCCTCAAATCCAAGTTTTCTTCCAAACTAAATTATTTCTTTTCATTTAGAAAGAATAATAATATCAATAAAAAATTTCATTCTTTTATTGAATGATGCTAAATAAATGTGTGCTCAAGTACTGTATTATGATGTACATTAGTCTTGACTGACATACTGAACAGGTGATAAAGTCGGTAGATGTCATACGTATCATGGAGACGTGTGTACGCGTAATAGAGATATGTGTTCATGTCAAAAAGGCATGTGTACATGTATACATAATGCATACACGTATACACATATCATGCAGTCGTGTGTACACGTCATATAGACAGGTGCATGTCATAGATACACGTGTATACGTCATAGACATACGTGTATAAGTCATAGACAAATGTACACGTCACAGACACGTATACACGGCAAGTAGACGTACGAACATGTGTACATGTGTGCATGCACGTGTCTTGAACATGTGTGTTCATGTTATAAAGGTACATCTAAATATTGATGACAGAGACCAGTTGTTTGTAAATATTAAACTTGAAAATCTAGGCCACGCAGTTGTAAACTTGTAATATATCAAATAGTTAACAAGTATGAAATCGTTCACCGCATTAAAACAGGAATCTCCGAGAATAAGTTTCTATAATCCCTTCATTAAAGCAAATATCAAATGGCTTTAAGATTTGTACAGCACGTGAAGAAGAAGTGCTCTAGTCTTCTAGTAGTTAATCCGGGGAAGTACGTCACGCAAAAAACATCACTGAAGCACGGGTATCCAAACACGACAACACTGAATCACAAATACAATGTCATTGATAGATAGTCTGTCGATCCTATGTAACATATCTAGACATCATCAGATCGTAAGAATGTAGAAATACAATATCAATATAAAATATATATTTATAAAAAGAAAACTTTGAAAAAAAATCAAGCTTTGTTCCTCCATATTATGAGCCATTCTTGTCTCATCCTGGTTTAGGATAACACTTTCTGAAACATTCTTCTTTAAATTAATCCCAAGACATATTTTTCTGAAGATCTTGCACTTTCTTTCCATTTTCATCCTCCAGATGTACGGAATCTACTTTGCCGTTAGGGAAGTCTTTCACGGTGGCGTCCACATTTAATCGTGCGTCTCTCTCCGCCTCTTTTTTTGTTGAAAATAAGCATTTATTTTCAATATCCATCCTTTGCCGAAATCCGTTTTCGGTATAGAAAAACCCCACCACCCATCTGTATTGCTTGTGTTCTGAATCGCACATTATTCAATCTTGATACTAGACCGGATATAAATCCGCAGCGAAATATAGTGCCACACTATTGATCACTCCAAGTCTTCCGGTATTCCTCCGCACTCCAGAATATCAGACTATAATCCTGCAACATATAAAGTGTTAAGCAATATTAATATAAGTTCATGAGCTTAATTCGGCCACATTTGTGTACCAAGTGTATTAAGCGCGGTTTAGTCCTCGAAACACCTAACATTTCTGCCGAACACATCATAATTGATGTTATCATGGGGGGTGGGGGGGTGTTGGTGGTGGGGGGCACTTTGGTTGGGGAATGGATACCCAGAGGGGGCATCCGGCGGAAGGGAGTGGGGGTTGGTTGGGGGTTGGCACTCAAATTTGCACTTTATGCAACATTCCATTTCGTAACATTTGCTGAAGATGAGTCCTTGATATTGAAGTGGCTTATATTTAGTTGGATACCACCTTGGTTTCCCGATTTTGGAGTTTTTGAAAAATATATGAATTACATAATGTAAATGTGAAATATGTACTATCAAAAACTCATCTCCTCGTACTTAATCGACTGTTATTAAAGTAGATTAGACAGAAACAAAATACCAATAGTATAAGTGTTGCAATTGAAAAGTGAATCAATGTCTGATATGTTTGTATTTTAACTTGTACATCAGATTTTTCAGGATATTCCATTGCAGATGTGTTCGTTCACAAAAGTTAAAAAGGCTTATACTTAAATGGCGTCGATTTAACCTCAGGTTGTTGTGTATGCCAATACGATAAGCATTCTAAATATGTATACATAAATAATATCAGACCTTCAGAAATAGATCACGTCTTCATGTGCTGGAACAGAGTGAAAGCGGTGACGCATGTCATGTTTAAATCCCCAAGGACCGGGAACGTGTACATAATCAATACCGCGGTCTTACATCGGTATACGATGTAGTTATAGGCAGTGGTAATATTAAAGATATATGTTACCTTATTGTGCCATTCATTTCAAAATAAAAGCGTTTCGGGCTGTACATTTTAATTCCTATCATAAAAAGTAAGTGATTTAGACGTGGATGAACATACAATAAACACTAATGATTGGCTTCACTGGACAGTGTTATATCATAAATACGGGGGACAACTCTGGCACAAATCAGATGCATAATGGGGAAGGCAATCGGAAACATGTCCCACTTGTTGCAATGTTGCAATGTTGCAATGTTGCACCGTCGTTTACGGAAAGTGCCGACGGTTCCCGATTGTGTGGAAGGGAGATAACTCTGGCACAAATCACAATAATGTAAAAGGGAGATAACTCAGGCACAAATCACATGTAGAAAGATAAACTTTAGCATGCGTAATTTGAAAGTGCAATTAACACCGGCACCTATTACATGTATATTGTGTAAGAAACGTAACAAAAATCACATGTATTTATAATATTAACATTGCTTTAAAAACGTACATACTGTACATGTATTGTTTCTCGTCCATAGGCAACACATAGCGTACCTCCTCTGTGTACGAAAGGCAAGGCACGTACATTATTGATTATTTATGGACTTTCGTTAAGGTAGGTATGCGGTTAAACAATATGTATGAACCCGATAATGACATATCAACCGAAACAAAGACGAGATATTTAGTTATCAATGTTCAAACATACAACAGCAAATGAATAAATACAAGAGTATCCGACCCTAATCAAGTATTTTAACATTAATATCAGTATAAAATCAAATCACACATGATTCTATATTAAGTATGCGCAGTAGTATATCAGACATGTACAAATACATGTTTATAAACTTTATTTTACAACAATTTTGAAAAAGTTTTTGCTCAACTTACATGTATATTAATCACACTTGTTAACCTATATGAAGTGCGCAGGTCTTAATGTGTGAGGAAACCTGAGTACCCGGAGAAAACCCAAGTGATGGGGCAGATGACCCAAAACCTTTTCACGTCCGATCGTGGAGTTGAGCCCCGGTCGTCTTAGTTAAAGGCGAGTGCGCTATCCACTACGCCAGCCGACCATGTACAAATATAAAAGGAGTGTCTTTTCACAGATACTTAGCACAGATCTAACGTATTCTTCACATCTTGTTCTTTCGTAAGGCATGATAAATCTCCTTGTAGATTGAAAAACCCCAATTTCAATAAACAGCTTTGCATTTCATGCACAAAAACACCAGCTTCAATTATACACTAAGGTGTAAGGCACACATGTATAAAATCAACGTAAACTACACGTTTATATAACACGCAATGAGTATGTCTTAAAATTCTTAAAACTGTTATCTTCGGAAAATACGAAGGAATTGTGCAATCAAAAAAAATGTGTCTAATTAAAGGGTGTAGTAATGGATAAATCATGAAAAGAATTTGTTGTAATTAAGTCTGATGTACATGTTGTTTTTATGAACTAGTTCACGATCAATATAGAATTACGATTTAGAATAAGGATCTACATTGCGTAAATGTCTGGCCACAATTATCCATGTAACATTAAAGAGGTATTTACATAATTTACATATCTTTGATCATTATACGGGTATGTGCTATTATTTTATAAAAAATAACGTTATACAGGTATATGTCGCTATTTTACAGGTAATGAACGCCATACAGGTGCATTGTAGATATCACTAATGTACAGGTAATACACGTCATACAGGTAGATGTCACTAGTTTACAGGTCATAAACTTTATACAGGTAGATGTCACTATTTTACAGGTAATAAGCTTTATACATGTAGATATCACTATTTCACAGGTAATGAACGTCATACAGGTAGATATCACTGTTTTACAGGTGATGAACGTCATACAGGTAGGTGTTACTATGTTATAGGTAATAAACGTTCATATACAGGTAGGTGTTACTATGTTACATGTAATAAACGTTCATATACAGGTAGATGCTACTATTTTACAGAAAACTGTATACGTCATTCTTGTATGTTCCCGGTCAACAGGTAAGTCGATATGTATACGTGCATAGGTTTATTGAATTAATTGTGTATTTGTTAATTATAATCTGATTTATATTGTTTCGGAGAAGTATTGATTACACGATCTAAGACTTCACACCGATCTGGCATGTATGACATGTATACATATATCAAATAGATATACATGTATGTTACTTGTTTACTCCGGTATCGTCCATGATATATAAGTGTTGCCATACAATTATGTGATAGAGAAAAATAATCAATATGACAACAATGTCATCGTATAACGTTACATATGTACGGGTATACTGCTTTGTATACTTCATATACAGATATACAAATTTATGCAATTTCATATACATTAGCAATTAGCCGTGTCACTATATTATGTTCATGTGGAAACAAGCGATGCTTTGAGAAAATTCTTAGAAGTATTTGATAAAATATGATATGATTTATGCATTTAACGAGCGTATACATGTATAGATCGACACTGTGGNCACTGATGAGTCGCAAGACTCAAAGTTAATAAAGAACTTGAGAACTCTAGTTGATACCTTTAACCTCATCCAGGTATTCCTCAGGTATCACACTACAGGTATATCGGACAGGTACCACATATTTATATATATACATCATAGCACACACACACACACATATATATAAACATCATAGCACGTATATAAATATAAATATATCTAAACATCATAGCACACACACACACACACACACACACACACACATATATATATATATATATACATCATAGCACATATATCTGTTACATTGTAGCAGGTTTCGATATTTCTGTGACAACGGTTGGAAATTAATAAACTTGTTGCTGACATGAAGATGTCCGTTACCTGTAATATACCTGTAACGTCATCCACGTATTCCTCAGATCGTGCGAGTGCCATTTACATATTATACTGTTATATATTCATATTAACATCACAAGTTCATAACCCATATATAATTTACCGGTACTTCGTCATTAACTTGACAACGGTTACAAATTAAGGTCAAGTTAGTACTGTTATCGACATGACGATGTCCGTGTGTTCACTTTCGTCGTGTGACATGTATGCTCAGATAAGCAGATACATGTATATATTTTAAACTCGCTGCGCAAAAAAAGTGATAAGTTGCTGATACAATATCGGCAAGATTGGCAAAACTTATTCAAAATAGCGATATATAATCTATAAAACTTCAATTGAAGTTGGTTGCATTCTGGGAAAACTATTTTGAAACAACAGCTGTACATACCCGTACACGAGGTTGAGCTGCAGGTGATCAGATGCCAGTTCTCGTGTGCGTTCTCGCAACAATGAGCGTAATAGAATTCTAACCGGGACTGTATAGACCTACATGTGTATATTGTACACAGACTTAAGTCGATTGTCGCCATTAACCAGTTAGTGAACGGATCCAAAATTCATTAAATAATTAATAATTTCAATCGATAGGGTCTAAGCCACGTGATCAATGTTGACGGTTTTAACAATGTAGCGCTGATCAGGCGACAGTATTGACGTCTATAGGACTATTTCATTTTGTCCGTACCAGACAATAGCCGTACTCGGTTCTCCGTGGAAATGAGCGAGTTATTGAACTACTGTAATTACCACAACACCTGTAATGACAGGTACAATGCCTATACACGCTATTATATATAAAGTACTACTTGCCACTGTTCGACTATTATTATTTTTTATTATTTCTTTATTTCCTCCAAATTGAAGAGTTAAAAAATATACAGTGAAGTCAAAATACAAATCAAATATTATTAACTGATACTAACATGCACATAAATACATCAGTTAATTACAGAGATGAAGAGAGAAGTTAATGAAACTTGAATTAGTTAAGTAAATACAGAAAGAATGGTCTCGTTAACAGCAAATCATACAAAATAATTAGAATGCCTGGGAATCCTGAGGTTTCCAAGAATTGGGGAAAGCCCTATCAACAAGGTCTTCTCAGGCTTACCCACTCATAAACACACACAAAATAAGAGAGATTTTTTTTAGTAATTAGCTAGACATTGCTATTGTACGTACGTTTGTACTTGTTATATCATTATTAACGCTGATACAACAGCAACATTTTGTCAATAAAAATAGCATTATGCAGTACAAAGGTTACATAATCAGTTGAGCTTAATATGTGGGGAAGGCTACCCCCTAGTAATACATGAATTAAATCATAATCAGACAAAGAGAATAAGAACACGCCAAGTTCTATATCAAAAGCCGTACTTATAAGACACCATAGATCGTCTCTAAGACTTTCAGTTTTTGTACAATGGATTACTATATGTGTTATACAGTCATTATGTAAAATACCACAAAAATGGCATAATTCAATAATATTTGTTGATCTTAAATTAGCACATAATCGAACTATATTGCTTATCTTGCTTAGATGTTCAGGGAATTTTAATGCTACTGTCCATAAAATATGTGGAGAAATTACATCATGAATGAGCAAAAATCTTGTGAAATCTGAATCGTTGTTCATTCTATCGTACATCATTAATTCTTCCCAATTATAAACTGCTTTATAGGAAATTGACTTCCATGATGAACTACTTGGAAAAACTGTATCTGATATATACTGCAACAGATAATTAAACAAATCATACTTGCGAAGTATTCTCACAATATCAGGAATAAAACCAGTTTGACAGGACTCCTTCAAAATATGCATGAATAGGCGTTTGAGAAATATAGTATGAGTTAAGTATTTACTGTCCAGTCTACAAAGACGACCGAGAAATAAAAGTTTTCTTATATCAATGTAACCTTCTATGGAGGTCCATCCAATTAAGGAGTTGGCCATATCAGTTCTAGTTCTAATGTTTAACCCTTGAATGGATTTTACGATAAAATTTTGAGCGCGCTCTAATTTGATTAGTTCTGTTCTAGACAGTTGCCATAGTTCACACCCGTACAGGGCAGACGGGAAAACTTTAGCCTTAATCAGCTTTGCAACTGTTAGAGGATTAAGGGTCCTAGGATGAGCACCAGATCGAATAAGAGCCATGGTTCCACTTTTTAGTTTCTTGCATGCAGACTCAGTTCTGTCCGATGTACACAATTTAGAATTCAAAACAACACCGACGTGCGTAATGTTTTCAACAACTGGTAATGCTTTACCATACAAATTCACATCTTTTACCAAGACTTGTCTTCTGCCTTTTGTAAAAACAACTATTTTACTTTTATCAACAGAGAATGAAAATCTCCATTTCCGACTATAGTTTTCGCAAATTGTAACCATATCATGTAAACCAATACTTGTGTTACTGATCAAACATATGTCATCTGCTTGTGAGGGATTATTAACCCTGGTATCAATGTTGACGGGTTTCACAATGTAGCGCTGATCAGGCGACAGTATTGACGTCTATAGGACTATTTCATTTTGTCCGTACCAGACAATAGCCGTACTCGGTTTCCCGTGGAAATGAGCGAGTTATTGAACTACTGTAATTACCACAACACCTGTAATGACAGGTACAATGCCTATAGACGATATTATATATACAGTACTACTTGCCACTGTTCGACTATGATATAAACAATGCTGAAAACGCGGAGGGTAATTCTATATTAATTAAAGAACTATAACAAGGCATTGCGAACGTTTTAAACCCATTCACTTTCATTAAAACGTTTGAGGTACGGCAAAACCTTAAAAACCATTAGAAATGTACGAAGTTTCGTGATAATAAAAATATTCTTTAGTTTCTCAGGCCAATTTTTACCCAGGTATGCAACTAATAGACATTTATTTCTATTTGTTAAAACAATGCGAAAAGTATTTTTTTCATTTAATTATACTTAGGAACCTATGAACACCACGTGGTTCCATACGGAGACATTGGGCTGAATGTCTCTATATCCATCTCAAAAATGAATTTCCTATTATATCATAACTTCATAATATACTGATTAATTGCTTCACAATTTCCCAAAATATTGTTCCAAGTTCCGCCGAATTTATCGTTATTTTAACTAAAAGTTACATTAGCTTACTTGACCTCAAGATCATAGTTATCAACATATCATTATAAGATATAGGCGCCCCGTGTGGAAGTAACACAGCTAGAAATAATTGTAAAAAATGGTGTTTGGTAATGATGAAGATATCAACTAATACTTGGGAATGCTATCCATGGTTACGTCATTGATGGCGGATCCAGAGGTGTTTTCAGCATTTAAGGAAACCACCAAGACCATGTATTCCCCATTTTGACCTCCCCATGTGGCGTTAACAGCGACGCTTTGACCGCAATGCAGTCTGGGAGAGATTCAACAGCGCCATCATTTTTCAAAGAGGAAGTTGTCTAACTAATTGAACCAACAACTTCCGGAACTACATGCAATAAACATCAACTTGACAAAGTAAGTGATATTGACGTTTACGTTTATATTTTCAGTTATTTAGGCGATTTTCTTTGATACTTTTATATGCTGGCATACACACACATGGACTGGAGCCACAGAAACTAAAGATTAATTTATTTTGCCAAACCACAAAGAAACACATGTGAACAAAGCTTTGAATCGCGTATTACACGTTAATACATGTACATGTACCAGTCTCTCAGGGGGATTATTGAATTCAAATAATCTGCATAAGTTAGTTAAAAAACTACCCGCGTGTTCTCTCATGTTCGAAGTTTCATCAGTTTATTTATTTTAGAATCAGACTGCTATGCCGTTAAAACATATCACCGCAAAGATAGAAAATATAACGTTAAAGGCATATACGAGAGAACATCTATAAACAAAAGATTGTGTGAAGAGTGTAATTACTACGAGGAAGAATACGAAACACATTTTGTTCATGTTTGTCTTTTGTACAACGAATTGAAAAGTTACACTGACAGATGTGTCAGAATACAACCGTCTATATTCAATTAGAAATAAGAAGCAAATAAATAAACATTCGAGATTTTGTATTTCTTCTTCAAAACTGAGATCAGATGCAATTTAGATATTGAGGACGAATACCACTTTGTGCTTAAATGTCCATCTTTTCAGATACATAGACATATTCACATGCAAAAATATTATTGGTTGAAACCCAGCATGTTTAAATTCATCAGTCTTTTGAACTCTAGCAATACATCTGAATTATGCAAATTTGGAAAGTTTCTGCACAAATCCTTTATGTTGAGAGAAAATCTGAAAACAAATTTAAATGTATGAACTAACAACAATGCGTTCTCCTTCAATACATTATTTTTATTATTTTTTCCTTAACTAGTATATCACTGATGATGTACATTCATTCAAATACATGTTACTTATTTTATAAGTAGTACTTCATTCATTTAAAATACATACCACTTATTTGTTTACACATACAAACTGCCGCCCTGGTAAGCATGTATTGAATATGTATGGTTGTAGTAATATCCTGTACCTATAAGCTGTAAACTTTTGGCAAAAATAAAATGAAAATGAAATAGTTTCGTGCAAAATGTCAATACCCCATAACATGTTATGTTGTTATAGTCACTTCTTGGTATTGCAGACAGTAAAAAATTAGTCAAAAAATGTTTATGGTGATTTAATGCTTAATGCTAATAATTACTAAAGATGCATAAGATTAGTAGAACTTTAATCTAGTTTTGATCACGCGATACAGTTTCTTAATTTCTAGTATCTATTTACATATTTTGAGAATATTACGTTAAACATGTTTTTTTTTTCCATGTTATTATTGAAATAAAAGCAGTTAATACAAAATTCGTTTCATTGTATTTTTGATTTTTGGTTACCTTGTGACCATATAACATCGAAATATCAATTTTGCCTTATTCCAACCAATAGTCCGCCCTTGTGAATTTAGAGTTTAAGCCACATTTGAATATATTCCTTTGGTTTGTTTAACAGCATCCATTTGCAAATCGATATGTCATTTTTCACATTGCGAACTAGAATTAGATGGAAAAAAACCTTTAAATTTGTTGTCTCGTTATCTGTGAACACAAGTTAAAAACAAAACAAAACGAAATCAAACGTTGCTTACCCGTCAGCATGCAACGGTCTATAAAGATTGCAGTATTTCCAGATGCAGTATATCCGTGCATTTATCAGAAAGACCTTCACACATGTAATTCCTACACAGCCTTCTGACTAAGCTAGTTTATATATAACATATACAGATGGACCTCTACGATCTTGCAGAAATCCCAGGGGCCAGATTTCCCGCCGAGTTAGCTTAATGTTATAAACGACAACCACAAATATTTCATCTAAAATATATGCAAAACAATACAAACATACATGAGGTAAAAAAAAACCCATCTAAAGCAAAGATAAACGCTAGTTTTTTGTAAAAGTTCAGAATGTTATAAACAAATAAAGAACCATTTTGAAATATTTTGTGTAAGACTCGTTAAGCTGA